AAGAGGGTTTCTAGCAATTTAGATGGGCACTAGATCAGGTTCCTGTGTTATTATAGCGAGAAAAATATTAGAACAGTGAAAAAATATCTGTAGAGTGTCCTTTCTTAAGAGAATCCTGTAGTTATAACAGTTGCCTGGTACAGTACCATTGGTACCAACAAGAAATATTCACAGGAATAAATGAAGTACAAATTCATTACCACATATCATTATTCTTCTCTTCCCTTGCTCTTCAGAGTCTCACGTGCCCTCCATACTGTGATACAGAGAGCAAGAACACCTGATAAGCAAGTGCATACAAACATGTTAAGTTCTGGAGCACCAGCTCTGCACAATTTATCTTACTGAGGTGCTGCCCAGAACAAACAGGTAAAAATCCTTACACGTTGTCTAACAAAAAACAGTATTTTTATCATATATATATGTGTATATATATATATAAAAATCACAGCCTTCTGCACAGCAGAAGCTTATAACTAAAATATTTTAAGATTCAATTTTTTTAGCTAGACATAACAAAATGCCTGCAAATATAATACAGTGGGCACATAACAATTCTTAGAATACAAAGAGTGAACATGGAATTATATATTTTATCCACATTCTACTTGTGACTGGAGACAGAACTCTCTCGGAGTTTTTTAAAAGTTTCTCTTAAAAATTTAATCCTTTCAGTAAGATATGGTCAGTATATACTTAGTAAGAATACGCTCTTCACATACATGACAATAATTAACTGTAAATACAACAGGCTAAATCTTGTCCTCTTTAGGCCCGGTAAGTAAGAGAGCCCAAAAGGAGCATAAAGCCTTCAGAGGCAGATGGAACATATCAATACAAACTATCTGTGTGGCATCCACCACCTCCAGATCCACTGTACAGAGAAGATGCATCTTATCCAAAGAGACTATTTACATCAGGAGGAATTTCAGAAGCTCTGCTTGCTGAAAGACTTCTTCCTATATGCCAGTAGAATCTTCTGAATGTTTGACACAAATCTCAGAGGCCAAGCCGCTTAAGCATGGGTTGAAAAGCATCCCAATTCAACAGGAGATGTAAGCATATTTGAGTCCCACTGAAATCAAAGTGCACTGCTGAAGAAAATATTTTGGTGAGTCAACATGAAGACTGCCTCCCAAGACAGATCCCCTGAAGTGGTTACTTTCTGCCAGGGCAAAATTCAACCCTGCGTCTTCTGAATGAAACGTCCTTTTATAAATGTCCTACACCATGATGTCAGCTTAGCGGCTATGCGGTTGGATATGACACACATATCATGCGATTTGCTAAAGGAAACATTTACAGTTATGTAGTCACAAGTGAAGTAACAGTGCAGTTACTTATGCAGTTACGTGTACAGTAGTAAAACTAACAATTGGATATAAGTTGTAACAATTTTCCAGAAATTACAGATAATTGGTGCCACCTATAACAACATATTTGTATAATACTTCCAGCCATACTAGTAAATGACTAAAGGAGAACACACGCTTTTCAGGGATGCTGATTTTTTGTTCCCTTTCCCCATCAACATAAAGGAAAGTGATGGCTTTACATATAGGCAGGAAACACAAGCTACTAAACTATTGGTGATGTTTTCCATATTACATACAAGATCGTATCAATATCTGCAATAATTTTATTACCCTGAAAGGCATTATACAGAGGATATAATTTTGTCCAAATCTAGGTAAGGTTTTATTAAAGATCTTAAGTCTCTCAAAGCCTATTAATGTATAACTTACTTTTCCCAGTATTAAGTCTCTCAGGCAGGTGACAGGTCCAACTATTCTAACCATTCTGTTTCTTGCTGTAAATGGAGCTACTTACACGAAACAACTAGAATCAACTAATTTTTTGACACTTGTCTGTTGAGAAAGATTTGGGTATATTTGAAATTTATTTCAGTGGTCAAAGTTTGCTAGTAGCTAATCAGGATTAATTTTTCAAACTGTATGAAATACTCTCTTTGGCATTGTAAATCCATTGCTATATCTGGGACTAACTTTAAACAAATGATTGATAGTTTACTAACCAATCTACTTTTATGTCTCATCCCTCATCCAAAAGGGTTTTTCAGATATCTATTATGGGACTACATACACACTGGAGGAACCAAGTGCAGAACTAGACTCTATAACCACTGTGTAAAACGAAGTTATATTGACTTCTATGAGAACTCTGCTTGCAGCAGGCTTGTCAAAGTCCATCAATAATGAAAAGATTAATTTCTAAAGAGATTATTTTTAATGAAATATTGAAATCATTGACCTCTTATAAGGGGCAAAAAGAAATATGATCATATATGCTGTCCTTGACAGATACATATATCTCTCAATAGGTCTTTTGTCATATATGAAGAGAAATATACGGCTCATAGAAAGAATAAGATGCGATAAATAAAGCTATAATTTGATTCTCCTTCTAAGATAATCTGAAGAGCAGCATAAAAGAGGTCATATGATCTATTTCTACAAAACCATTTATCATCCAGTAATGTCTTTGCAAAATTGTTTACCCATTCAAGTATCTTCAGGAGATATGTCACCATACTTGCATATACTGTAAGTCATTCCAACATTTATAAAACAACACTGATGGACAAAAACACCAAAAACACCCATAAATATTAAAAGAAGCTCAACAAACTTGACTATCAAGTAGTTAAAAAATTGTTGATCTTTACATTACACATTAATTCCATGTTGTCCAAAATCTTTCTTTGAATGGAAGTTGTCGAGTTTTCAGGGTTTTCTGTAGGTCATCATAATCTTGTGTATCCACCTGGAATAATATGAGACCCGAACAAAAATCCCAGGATGATTTCGAACAGCACATCCACGGCCAGGAACAATGACACCAACTACTATCTTCAGTCTGTTTTGTTCACAAACCAAAGGACCACCATAATCTCTCTAGGAAACAATAAACATAAAGAATGTCACTTCTCAAAATACTTCAGTACACAGCTTTCACCTGTCTCCTACTGACTGGTGTCTTTTGGGGGTGACCTAGCTCAATGAACAGGCAATAGAGTTAGTCTTGCCATAGGACAAAAAACAACTTCCAATATCTTTTCCACAGCCAGAATTTAGGAGAACCAATGCCAAGGCTGGCCTTTAATCTCTGATTGCCTCCCATTCAAATTAAACCCCGTGATGCATCTTTCCATGTGATTCTAGTGACTTCAGACTACCAGAACTTATTGTCCTCTTTCAGCTACTTGCAAGCATGGTATTTGTTTATGTGCATATAAATCAGATAAGCTGAAAGTGAGTTGACTGATAAACATTTGTGTTATGGTAAAAGACTTTGCATCAAAGACTACTGACAGAGCCAGGTTAATATACTTGTCAGGCAATCACCTTGCAAGGCACTAGAATAAGAATCTATGTATACTAATAAGAAGAGGGGAGAATTCCAAACATAATAAAAAATAATATTTTGTAGGCATAATTTTGAGACATAACTTGTTAAAATGCTCTTGTTCATTATTCTGAGTGAAGGAGACATCTACGCACCAGTACACGCAGTCAGAGAAATTTTGGAGTATGGTTAAGTCAGATCTAGCTCTTATTTAGGACTAAAATACATTGTTTAAATTAGATTAAAACAGTAACTTAGATACATTCACATAGATCTGGGACAACATAGACACTATGTTCAACATAGACACTGCAGCTTTTACCCAGGCAAAACATATACTGAACCTAGCAAACTGTCTGCAAAACTAGACAGTAAATGTCCATATCAGATAGCGAGACATTGTTTCAGAAAATAAACCTGACAATTAGCATTGTATTCTCTCCGGATCACCAGAGAAACAACAATGCTTGACCTTTATTTTGTTTAGGGTTTTTTTCCTGGATGACTGCAGATTAGTTCCCACATGAGCAATGAACTATGTCAGTACCGTCAGAGCAGCTCATAAAACACTTTCAGGAGTGGAGTTTCACCTGCCAATCTGATTTTGTTTCTCTGCCTGTTCTCTGCTGAGGAAAGTAGCTTCAAAGGGGAACTCAGGGAGCAGGAAACCATGCAGTCATTAAGACTGATTGCTAATATTAATTCAGTCCATTTCTTCCAGCAGGGGAAAACAAAGTGCAGGATCCCCAGCAGACTTCCATGCAGATGTTTCATTTATAAGCCTTGACATATCTAAGAGCTCACTTATGATTAAATATTTGATTTGATATTTTGAAGAAAATACTTTGCAATAACAAAATGATCATGTGGAATACTAATAAATGGAAGAGGCTTCAGCCTGTTGAAGAACTCAGTTCCCCATCATGTGGTAGTACTCTTGGGTAGAGAAAATTTTCACTACTTGATTAAAATCTGTATTAGGTAAATCATCTATCCCAGATACTAAATGCATAATAATGTTCATGAGTGTCCTCCTGCTATCTATCAACTTATCAGGATGATATTACACATGAAAAATTGTATCTTTCTGTAATAAACGATTTACAGCATTTCTCCTAGATGTCTTTTCTCCATCATCAAATCTAGTCCCAGGCAAAACAATATTGAACTATATAGTTTCACTGAAGTAGTTCTGCTGTCCTCACTGATATGTTGCTCAGGTTTGATTAAGGAGACCAAATGCTCCACCCTTCTGACTAATACTGAACCTCAAGACATTTTTTGATCTTTCTCCTTCCTTTATAACTTTATGAACACTGTTGAGCAATGACTTTTCTGTACTTTGCATGCAAGTCCTCATCTAACTAAACAGTTAAATTTGCCCCATCTTTTTCTTTCTGCTCAATCAAAATATGCTGCTGTTTCTAGCACCCAGCCCTTTGTAACCCTTATTATACCAACACAAATTTGTCTTAGTCTAGCAAAGTGTTTAGTCATGTGAGTATATTTAACATTAATGCAAATCTTTTGCTGGTGTGGTGGTACAGTGAGATTGAAGCAAAGGAGCCTTTTTCTGCAGAAAATAGGTCACTAGAAACAAATAATTTTCCTATGCAAGAGATTAAAAGCATTTTTGTATGTGTGTGTGTAAAAGTTCTATGCAGAGAGGATAATTGTAAAAAAAACCTCCAGGAAATTATTTCTGGGAAAGAAACAGCCAGGCTGATGACTCCTAAGAATTTATTAGGAAATGTAATATTTACCTCACAAGGCCCAGCACCAATGGTTTCAGCCACAGCACAGATTTCTGACTCATTCACAGTGATCTTCCCTTTGAGATATTGGTTGCATTTCTCATTTCCCAAAATAAACAGGTTTGCTACTCGGAGAAGGCCATCATAGTTAATTACTAGGATTGAAAAGAGAATGAAAACTTTATTCTATTTTAAGGGAAAAAAAAATGAAGATTCAGTCTGTGTTACAAGTTACTCATGTAACTTCAGTTATTGTACTTTCTCACCAGTACTTGAATTTATTGTCCATTCCCATTTTTATCATGCATTTGTCTTTTGGATTTCTGATATTTGCTACAAATGAGATTTGCATTAAATTTTTTTGGTGGGCATATCTGCTCAGTTCTCTCAAGATATCTGGGGAAGTTTTTTGCATTAGAAGAAAAGGCTAGGTGCCGGAGCTTACTCTACTGTTCACCACCAGCTTGCCTTGTCACATCACAGAAATCAGAAAAAGTGAGCTGAGAATGTTGTCACTCCCATCAGCAGAGTGAGGATTTTTCTCCCTGCTTCAAACACAAGTTAGTGTGTAAAAGTGCCTGCCATGGCCTAGGGAAGGACGTGTGACTTGAAAAATACTGTAACAGAGCATAGTTTTTCTAATTCTGTGCTGGCTCAGCTACACTGAATGACTTTGTGCCTGCAAGGGCAGAGCCACAGCCTTGTGCAATCTCCATTCATCAGCGTGAAGGTCAGGAAGCAGGAGCCCTGTGGAGCTTACTCTTGTTCTACATGTCGAAAGACAAGTCTGTACAAGCTGCAAAGATAAATAAAGGGCCTAGACTTGCCCGTTCTCTGCATAGCCATCAAAAGAAAACAAGCTTGCCCTTCACTGCCCTATTACCCCGTTTTCTTGAAAAAAAATGGATGTAACACTTACTCCTTTCCTGACTGGGATGCTGTGAGGATTATAATACGTAATGCATAAGATAATATAGCACAAAGTCCTTGGATGACAGATGTTATGTATTCACTGCGTTATGTAACTCCACAGCATTTCAAATTCCTTATCAGTTCTAGTAAGCCAAGCTTTCCTGCAATGCTGCACCGTGCTCCCGCCTGACTTCCCTGTCCCCCTGACAGCCATTCCCTGCAAAGGATGGCTAATATGGCCATGCTGGGAACATCAAATCTAGTCATCTGAGAAAGGGCTGGTACAGACTACTTGCCACCCACAAAGAAATGCAGAGTAATGGCTACAAGGAAGAGAGCCTCCAAACTACAGTCTAGTTTCTGCTCTGCTTCCAGGAGAGCATGAATATGTTGCTGCTGCTTACTCAGGGTGTGTGGCAAAATGAAATTTGAGCACAGCAATTATTGTAGTAATTATTGTCAACTGGCAGCTATTAACTTTATCATCAACACATAATTAGGCAAATATAGTATTTACCAGGCTAAATAAATGTCTGTTCTCCCACAGTTTTGTATTTACTTCACAGAAAACCTGTGTTTAATAAGCATTAGTAAGGTTGCAAAGTCAATTACTAAAAAGTTAGGAAATGCCAGACTTCGGGCTGCCTGTGCATCCTTAGTTCAATGTCTTTGTGTATGTTAATTATGTCTTTGATTACGTGACCCTGTATTAGTTTTTCCACAGGGTGGCCTGCTTTGGGATCCAGAAAGACTGCTCAAGTAAATGAAGTGGAATTTTTCAAAAAAGGGTTAAAACTCTGCAAAATAATTTTGCCATATTTTTTAAACATGTAGAACAATATATTTCTTTATTTCATTCTTCAAAATGTTTGAATCATTTTGCCTGTCAATTAAACAAACAAAAAAAAAGGTGGACTAGAGAAAATATTTAATATTAAATGATCTTCAGTAAAATGCTCAAAGATTTACAAAATTGGAAAAAAAATGTAACTTGCATTCTACAACAAAAACTGTCGCACAACCATGGCATCAGGCAATACCAGCAGTCTCACCTATAATGACAAGAGGAAGTAAGCTGTCAATGTATTCATTTAGTGTTTAAAAATAGTTTCTTACATCCAGTGTATCCCCATCCATAAACACTGCAACTGGTCTTCTCTGGAATGGTACATCCAGAAATGGGCAATCGGATTATTTCTACAAAATTTGTCAATATGGCAGGTCTGAAAGGAGAAGACAAATAATAGATACAATGGATTTTACTTAACCTTTTAAAATGTATCTTAAAAATAACTTTAACACCAATCAAAACTTGTGCTAATTCTTTTCCTTTTCCATCTTTGATAGATTCTTCTACCTATTTTTTGTGCTACAGCTGTTAACTGTCAAAAGAGTTCTTGAAATGCTGTCAACACTTTTGTGCTATTTAACTTGGGTTTTCATCTTAAAAGTAAGTAATGATGGCATTTTATTTGAATATACAGTTTTGCTAATATGGAAAAAGTTTGAAAGTTCATATATACACAAGGATCTCAGTTACAATCTGGTGCTTACTCTATAAATTAAGACCGTATAGTAGTGAATTGTTATTTACAAAAAACCTAACAAAATGACAAACAAATCAAAGCAAAAAACCCTTCTAATAAACCTAAACTTGGTTATCTGGAAAAGCATATAGGCACAATTTTTCAGTAGTAACATCTGCTTCCTGATCAAGGTAGATGAACCTCCATTTCTGCATATACCAAGTAAAATTTCTTTCAATTGGAAGTTTATCCTATAGAGACATCATCCACAGTATCAAAGATAGTAGAGAACTGAATTTGCAAATCTTATTTAGAAAGAATCTCATTCTTTGGTTGAAAATTCTGGAACTCACAATAGTGGCTACTAACCTGCTAAGTTTCAGTAAGACCAAATCTGATCCTGCAGGGCCATATACCAACTGGGAGATGTTCAGAACTTGTCTATGCTTCTCCTCTCCCTTTCCTTTGATATTATGGACTCCAAGCCAGGCTTTGTAATCTTTCAAATCTTTGTACCTAAATGAGACAAAGTTGGTTACAATTTTGATGAGCATATAATAAAATAACTAAAAAAACTCTGTTTAAAATGCTAGAAGATCTTAACTTATACTCTTCACCAGAAATGGGTTTATGCTGCCAATTTCTATTCCAAAATCAACATGCTCTGATGTAAGCTTTTGGTCTGAAGCTGCTACATAATTTTAACTATTACTAAAATCTAATTTTTGTTTCCTAATTGTATCTAAACATTTAGATCCTTGGACAGCATGGACCTTTGAATTTTTTGAGATTTGCCCAAGTTTTCTATTTTATTTTGTCCAGTTAAGCAGAAGCATGAGATTATTTTCATAAAGAGGCAATTGTCTAACCGTTACAGTTGGAAAACATATGTAGAATAGCAGAGCCCTTTTAGATTAACAACAATAATAACAGAAAATACGAAGGTCCCACTGGCCTTTTATATCAGAAAAGCAGCGTTAAAGCCAAACAGGAGAGAAAAAAGCTGCATTTAAGTTGAAGAAGTGTTGTGCTGGTAAATTCCTGAAAATAGATGTATTTCAATATTGCAAAACTACAGACTACTGTACCGAGAAGGGAAACACTGCCTTGCTGTTAGAACCCACTCTTCCTTTATCAAAGTACCTCCACAGACATGCTTATTCCTGGAGAGAAAAAAAAAAAAAAAAAAAAAGGAGAAAGAAATAAAAAAACATAAAAAAGAGGTAATAGTATGATTTTCTACATATTCCAAACATTTAAAGAATACTTTTGTTGCCCATGTATTTTTGCTGATGAAAAGTAGATGACTGACAGTCTGCAAAACATGTCTCCATCCCTTTGCCCTACAGTTTCAACACTTAAAGTAACATGAACTTGCAGATATTTAGTCCAATGTGTAAAAACCAAGAGGAAAGAGAAACTCAGTTACTCTGTTCATTTAGTGGTTTCAGAGCTGAATTTGTAATGAGACCTTATTTAAAAAAATAAAATAAAAAAAAGGCAAGCTAATTCTTTGTAATAGGAACTGGACTGAAACACTCAAGCAAGTCCCCAGACTGCCACCAGATGTAAACAACATTTGGTCATTATTCATGTAGGCATTATTCAAAGCATTGACCTCAAGGTGGAGAGTTGCTATTTGATTACAAGCCCGGTGAGATTTCTGTCCCCATGTATTTCAGTAGGAAACAATCTGCAATGTGTGACATCCTACATGTGATTATAGAAAACCTACAGCATAATATATCAAGTAAAATTAAAGCAATTAAACATGACAGTTCTTTGAAAAATAAAGACGACTGTGGAATGCAGATTAATTAGTTTCCTTCTTTCTGCCTCCAAAATCACATTTATTTTCTGCAGCTCTTTGGAAAGTGAATCAGAATTGTCAGCAATTCGGGAAAAGCTTAAAAATCTCAGAATTTATAAATTCAAATCACACAAATGCTCAAAGCTTTGAAAAGAACTGCTGGAAGGAGCCCAGACTCTATATGGAGTTCAAAGACAGCAGAATAACACAGATGCTTGCCTCCGTTAGTGTTTTTTTTTAATTGTATTTTGGTTGAGGAACAAAATATCTGATCCAAAAGGCTGGATTCTTTTTAAAATACAGAGTCTGCCCAGTTTTATTGCAAAGAAATGTCACAGTCAGGAGTATAAATGTATTCTTCCATGTTATCTTTGCATCACAAATTATCAAAATAAATTTATAAGATTGTATCCTCTGCTTTAGAAGATTGAATACTACACATGGGAATGTATTAAACTTACTATTTCATGTGGGACAAATCCAGAGCTGATTCCATGAAATAGATGAAATTAACCCAAATACACTTTAACTCACCTGATATCAGGATCTGGATTGAATATATAAGAAATTATGTCATTGATTAATTAAATATTTAGAGGTGGTCCTTGATTACCAAATATGAATATAAGTTTCTAGGTTTCACTAAGCCTTTACCATTCAGACATGGTAATTCCATTTTGAGGTGTGCAGTAGATTTGAGGTGTTCAAAAGTCCTGAAGATATTAAGATTTTGTTTCAGACAACATTCTATTTGCTTCCTTGGTAACAATACTAAATAAACCTACATTTTTATGCCCACATGTAATACTTAAAAATATATATTTTGCTGCTGGAATACTCCAAGAATTGCTTTTTTCAAAGAATCTGAAATCATTTAAACACACATCTACTTCATGGAATTTTGTTGCATAGCACAAAATCCAGGTTCAACTGCCTTAACATTAGTTATGTAATTTCTAGGCACCTGGATATAATTCACCTTACCTGTCTAAAGTTTCCTCAAACATCAAGGCTGCTTTAAAAGCAAGTGCAAAGATCAACTTTTCCAGGGAGTGATTCAGCCCACCTTTTTGGTTATTTAATCTAGGAATGGAGTGATGGTCCTTTAGAAATGTCTTTCTGGATCATCCATTACACTTCCAGAAAGGTCTAGTTCTGATTTGATCTCATAAGATTGCAAAGATCATCAAGAATGGGAAGGATCCTAGAATTTCTCTAGCAATGAAGCAGTGTAGAAAACAATTATTCCAATATTTCATTTAAGACCTGTTTTACATCATGGTTTTAAAAGAGTTGACGAATCATAGGGTAATAGAATTGAGTTGTACCTTAGTTTGCACCACCAGACAAAAAAAGGCTTGTGTTGGGTTTTTTTTTTGGTTTTTTCTTTTCATTATAGAAGATACAGGCCAGATGCATGAGATGATAAATTTATGATTCACACTTCCAGCTGATGAGTTATGAACCAGATTAATGAACTTAAGAAACAGTAATATGTGTTCTGGCTTTTACACAGTAGCAACTTAAGATCTGCCATAATGTGATACACATTTCCAGCTGTACATGTTAGGGTCTTAGAGAATTAAAAGGATTTCCTTATAGCTCCTACTTTTAATTGCATGCAATGGTATGAACAGAAAGCTAAATTTGACATGGGTATAAATCCTGAATCCAACACTTCTCAACTAAAAGCACTGTTGTTGAAGTGAAAATATTTATCTGAACTCATTTTTTTTGTAACAGTTTCTAAAATAAACAGTTTAGTACTGGATGCTAAGCCAATGTTATGAAAAGGTTTGCAGCAGCTAATCAAAAGAGCAGAATGCTATGAATGCTTCACAAGCTCATGTGTGTAAGTTAGTGATAATGAACATGTAAATATTTCACTGACAGAGTGTATACTACAAAATCACCTGATGTTCCAGAAATGCTGATTTTCTGCTTTTACAGAATTTAACTGCACTCTAGAAGCATTCTTATTATGGCTGGTTCTACGGTTCCAAAACCAATATCTTAGTACATGTATTGTCTTTCTAATCAAAGTTATAGTTACCTGTATGTCAAGCTAACCACCCATCCTTCGTTAGTTTGTGTTGGGATCCCATTTACAACTCTCAAATGTTTTGTTGAGGCACAAGGAATGGCAGTATCTGAAAGCAGGTCCAGAGATCACATTTTACTAAAAACAGCGGTAGGAAACCTGTACAGTTGCACATAAGGACCACAAGAAGGTCAATATTTATTATGGATTAACTTTCCTGCTCTAATGAAATAAATTTCTAGAGTATCAAAACTACTTCAATGAGGCTGGGTAAGTCTATAAAATATTCATTGGCAATAAAAAATACATATATTTAAATGTTGGGGTTTTTTTGTGATTTATATAGTTATACAGAAAACATTGTAAATCATTACCATATCTCACCACTGGCAAGACAGGATAGCGAGAATACCTAAGGAGTACAATAAAATTACGTTTTCCTCTTGCAAAAGCTATTTTTCCTAATCTGTATTTTTTTTTAAATCTTTAACTGATCTTTCTTTTGTTTCCCCGTGGTAAAGAAATGGCTAGTCTTAGAGGATACAATACATGCACTGCACAGTACATCTGCAGACTTACCATCCAAGCTGGTTGTAGTAGGAGTTGTATCCCCTTCACCTAGGCAGACACATAAGATAGCCATAATACAAAATTAAGACACATCTAACAATTGAAAAGGGTAAAAATAAACAGCAAATTACATACTGTAAATTTTAATAGTTCACAAAGTTTTAAATTCCAGTGATTCCTTTAATACTCTGCAAAAGCACAATTTAGTAAAGAAAGGCAGAATTTCATCCCAATAGAAGTATGTAAGAATTAAATATTTTGCAACAGGATTTTAAAGCATTTTACTTCTTGGCTGAATCCTGAATACATCAGACTGTCTATTATGGTCAACTTATATGTTTAATTAGTACTAGCAAATGCTGAAAAATGAAGTTGTGACTTATCTATAAGCTTTCAGGAAGCACTGGACTCATGTAATTAAATATAAACCAGATTTAATCAAAAAACCTTAATTTCCTTGAAAGCCTTTGAAACTTCAAAATTCCTTTCACCTTGTTATCAGCAAAAGCTTATCCTTATCATGGAATCATAGAACATAGAATAGTTAGGGTTGGAAAGGACCTTAAGATCATCTAGTTCCAAACCCCTGCCATGAGCAGGGACACCACACACTAAACTATGTCGCCCAAGGCTCTGTCCAGCCTGGCCTTGAACACCTCCAGGGTTGGAGCATTCACAACTTCCTTGGGCAACCTATTCCAGTGCTTCACCACCCTCACTGTGAAGAACTTCTTTCTTATATCTAATTTAAACTTCCCTTGTTTAAGTTTAAAGCCATTACCCCTTGTCCTACCACTAGAGTCTCTAATGAAGAGTCCCTCCCCAGAATGTGTTCCCAAAAATCTGGTTTGGTTGTTCCATCCAGTCCAAGTCAAAATACAGTTACAATGAGGTTGCTTAAACCTGGTTCAAATTTTTTGCCTTCAGCAAGTCTGCAGTGACCCAATACAAGTTAGAGGTACACCTGTAGCTACTGAAAATTTGCAAAGGTAAAATTTAAACAGTCTTATCCAACTAGATTTCCACCATCAAGCAAGTCTTTCTCTACCTCTCTAGAGGTATACATTTATACACATAGTTAAATTTCTATGTGTATGTATACACACGTGTATATGAGTATGCACATGTATATGCATATCTACACATGTATACAGAGAGAGAGAGAGAGAGACAGAGAGAGAATGCCATTTGAAGAGACCAGCTAAAGGCATCAAGTGAGTACATTTGGGAACTGCCAGCATTTCATCTGTACTGGTTGAGCTGGTTATCAGTACCTAAGTGAGCTACTAGTAGTAACTCATAGTAATATGAGTTACAATTGTAAAACAGACAAATTCTGAGTGAATAAAATTTCTGTTTTTTCAGCTGTTGTTCTTTATCTGCATTGACAGGAACAACCTTTTGTAGTTTGTTTACTCTTCACATAGATGCCAAAATATCACCTGAGACTTCATATATCATCTCTTAGAGATGCTGCAGTTCAGACTATGAGGAAACATAGCAGATTGCTGCTAGGAATAAACGTAACATTATCCTTAACCTCTAGAGATCACAGACATGCATCCAAAAGCCTGATTTACCATTTAATTGTTCTCTCAGGATATACAGCACAACGATTTAGAAATAAGAATTGAAGAGAAAAAAAAATAATATAAATGAGAATTGCACATTTTTCAGCATAAACCTATCCTTTTCCACTGAACATCAGCTTATTACTGAATTCCCCAGGATCTTTAATTCTGTTTATTTAAGCTATTTAGATTTTAACATGCAACTTTGGAGGCGTGATGTTCCTAATTCTTGCCAAGAATTAAATCATCCCATAAACATCGAAAAGCAGAATCTAATCTATATAGCACATATACACTTCAGCATATATATAGTGAGTTATCCTAACTTTACAAACAAATACAGATCACACAAAGAGTCTGTGAAGCTTGTAGCACAGAAGATAACTGTCTCTGGGTTTCTTAAGGCCACAGCCAACATGCTGACCACTAGACAACTCTTTGTCTCCATCCAGCACTCATTCAATAGCTAGATCTGTTGGAAAATGTTTAACCATCTGCAATAGCCCTTTTATGCTCCTGCTGCATAAATAAGCCTTGAAATCTCGAAGCTGTTCAAGGAAAATGACCCCTTGTTCATATATTGCACAAGCAGCTTCTGTGCGTTCCTTCTCAGTTATGCACAATTGATTCTTGATAGAATCACACATTATCTGCTGTCACAAGTGACACTACAAAGGTATGCCTAAGCATGTGACACCACATCTTCACTGGGACTGCACAGTTGACAATGCCTGAGGCATACCAAGTACTCACATCGAGAAATAGGGCAGTAATCCCAGGGAACTAGGGGATCATCTGTGTAACACCAGGGACCATGAAAATCATCATCTGGATTGCGGCAATAGTTTTTCTTCAGTTTACTAACATCTGGTTCTCTGAATATTTGTATATGCCTACAGGGAAAAAAAAATTCAAAGTGCTGAAAAGCTTTATACTATAGCCCAAATTTTCAAAGGTTAAATGTTTCTTTGCTCCACATTGTAATATTAGCTGATTGAGAAGCCTACAGGTCAGGGTTTAGGGCTGGTTAAAATCAAAGGGAAGATGAGACTCTAACATTTGCTGGATCTGGGTCCAAGTTTCCTCTGGTCGATATTATAAGCTCTGTGTCCACTGGACAACTGGGAGGTTTACTGATCTCCCATTAAAGCTAAAATCCCTGGATACCCTCAGGAGGGATCATTACACTGATTAAGAGTGTATGTGTTGCCCATAGTAAATCTGCAGGCCTCTCTGGGACCACAGGTACCTTCTGTCTCGATTTACCACTAACACAAGGGATCACTGAGTCTACAGAGAAAGGTGAATCTTAGGCAAAGTAAAGACAAACACAAGAAAGCTAACCAGACTGAGCAGCAGGCAAGGAGAAGGATGAATGGCTCAGACAAACTGCAGCAATAGGTCCCCTAAATTTCAAACCTACATGAGGCACTTTTAAAAGTGAAACTTGGGGATGAAAATTTGAAGGAGAGAAAGCTGTTTATTTCTGGCTTGTCAGACAGAAGCATATAGGCTTCCTAAGTTACAGCTGCACTGATCTTTTAGTTCATAACCAGCCATGCATGCTGCCTCTAGTACACCCATAACTAGAGTAACTGCTGCAGTGAGACAGGTAACTCCCCAAAGAAGTTCTCAGATGGAAAATTTGTGGGAGTAAGAGAAGAAAGGCTGATCTGTACTCAAAACTGTATGAATGTAATTGCAAAGTATCCAGTCTCATTCACAGCTAACTGAAAACTTACTAGAGCTCTCAGAAGTCACGATCTCAAACCTCTTCCTCCCTTACGTGGACAGCATTCTGGAATATGTATTCTGCCTCTGGCCCTGGGACAGCCAAATTCCAGAAGGCAATATGCTGGGCACTATGACTGTGACAATCATGAGCACTAACTCAGCAAGTACAAAGGTAATACTGAAATAATCACATCTACTTCAGAAACTAAAGGAAAATGAAGGGAAAACTTCTTCCATCTGAGCCACTAATGTGTGTAATATCTCATACATTGAAAATTTTGATGAACCTCTGTCTTTGTGTGGTACCTGGAAGTCCTTGTTCTCATCACTTGTTGAGACAACTATTCTGAACCAGCAGACAGCACACAGTTGAAAAAGTCTTGGAAACTCACAACTTCTTTTGTACGTACTGCTGATTCATTTTTACATTAACAAATAAGGTAACTTGTCATTTCCACTACTTGAATATGATAAACAACAGAATTTGCAAGTTCTTTTCATGTCATGTCAGTATCATTAGATCATAATCTCAAGATTCAATTTCATGCAGCAAAGGAACTTAGGTAGTTTAAAGTCCAAACTCCTGCTTCAAGCAGCATGAGCTATGAGATCAGACTGATGAGATAACAGTTTCCTACTGCATTCATGCTATTCTCTCATCGAACAAAACTTACAAGGACAAAGATGGGGTAAACCAGGCCAGTAAACTAAACACTAAGAAACATCCCAAAGCCTGCAATTAGTGGTTAGCCCAAACAAAGACATGTTGTGCAATATATTTAAAGGGGGGAAAAAAAAAAAAAAGATACTGAAAGCTCCAGGGCATAAGGGGCTATTTTGGAACCGCTGCAGAAGAAAAAGAGATGCCATCTGGAGGCAGTATTTATTCAGGACTCACTGAACCATCTCTTTCTCTTTCTTATGTACACACCTACGTAAGTCTTCAATGTTCTTGTCCCATGTGGAGCAAGTTAGCCCAAATCTTGTTTTGGATAGATTCCCCATGTAACTCTTTCCATTGCCACGATAACAATCTGAATAAAGATGTTGAGACAAAAAGAAGTGGAAGGTGATTGTGCAACATTAAAAAGAAAACTTCATTTCCATCAGTAATTCAAATAATTAAAGACAAGTGTTATATTTAGCAAACACTATACAGTATAAATCAGTCAACTGTATAAATCAAATCAGAAAGAAAATGGGAGAAAGTTTTCACAGTTAGATACATAATGCCCTGCTTGAGGCCCTCATTCCCAAAACAGTAGCATTTTAAACTTGGTCTTACTTAGATAAACTGGGAAAATTTCTTTCATAAATAGTTTATGGTTAATTTAAAAGGGTCACACAGAATATTCTAAAAGTTGTCAGGAGCAGCTGTATACAAAACAAAGCAAAAATGTCCCTCTACTCCTCCATCCTAAAAAACAGGCACTCAGCCTGTTTACAAAACCTTGCCTTTGTGTAGATTCTGGATACTGGCAGCAGTAGAAAATTCTAGACTTAAAATCTACTTTGGCAAAACAAAAAAATCAACATGATTTTAATGTAATTCAGAAACTTGCCTGTTCACTCCAGCAGAAGTCATGTTTAATTCATAAGCTTTTATCACAAGCCTTTTTGAGACTTTTCAAGAGGATTATTTAAAATGATCACTACTATAAAGACTTTTGTATAAAGTATTTCATTTCATATTCATCGGTATTTTTACTTTTGGATAATTGATACTTTGCAAAAAACACAAAATGAAAGAAAAAGTTTAATCCTTTCTGTGACATAACTTTTGCAACTGCAACTCTTTCAAATTTTAAGGCAAAAAATGGCTAGAATTTAAAGATGGAGATCTTAATGCAGCCTAATGTAGGGTCATAGGTCTGATGTCTTAGCTCAGTTTATGCTAAGATTGACATCAGTTCTCAGGATGCAATAGTACTCCTTAGAGTATTACCAAGACCACATGGGAAAAACATTTGCCTGAAGACTTGGAGTGGACTTTACAGGCAGAGACAACAGCTTGAATCTAAGAGGTTATATGGGAAGTCCAATGTGTTGGTTGCAGCTCAATATCTTTTAGCCAAGGAGGTACATGGAAAAAAATACATTTAAAAAATTGCTTTTGGTGGCCTCATATGCAATTATAAATAGACTGTAAATCAAGGAAATTGTCTCAAATCTGGGAAAAGGGCTTTCAAACTAAGAAAGGTCAGACAGTGGAGCAGATCTCCACTTAATGTAAAATGGATCTCCACTTTGTATAAAATGGCACCTTGTCTAAAAATCAGATCCAATAACAAATCTTTGCTGCAGCTTTCCCTGTTGGAATTGAAACATGAACTGAGAAATGAATCTCATTTACACCATGATGAATCCCAAATATGCAAATAAAGCTAAAGCAGAACTACACAGGTGTAATACAGATGTACTGAGACCAGCTTCTCTAGTTTTCAAGCCTGCCTATCTGCCATTTGGAACAGTACAGCATTCACTTAAAATCATGTTATCGACTTTCCCCTCTGTTACCTTGTTCATTTGATACATCACACTTAGGAATCTGGGAGCAATAACCAACACGGATGTTTGGGTCAGTGGTAAAACACCACGGTGATTCAGATCCATCTGGATTTCGGCAGTAGTTCTCCCTCAAATCCCTATAAAAATAAATATGTTAGCTCACAACAGGGATAACCTAAACCCACTGATGCATTCTATTGCTTTTTATCAGGAATTAACAATAATCTAGATTCCTTTAGGTCTGTGTATTACTGATCAGTGTCAAGTGCAAGGAGATGAGGAACCAGTAAGAACACAGTGTCAAGAAAAAAAGTAAATGTAATACGAATATTGTTATGGGAATTAATTTTCAGTGGACCTATGTTTTGACTGGATATAAGATTTCATTTGAAGATTAAAAATGTTTTTAATATAGCTTATTTTTATTCAGGATTCTCCGTCAAAATTTGCATGCAAGCTGACATTGGATACACCTGCAATCCATTACAAGTGCTTTTAAATACAAACATTACCAAAGTGCTTAAAATTCCCTGTACTTTGAATGGTTCTGCTGAGTTTAGAAAAACAGAATCCTGTAGACTGTCAGTAATTCACTTAAGAAACTGAATCTTGGAACATAAAAAGAAGTCTGTAGAAATTCTATACAGCTGTTACCTTTAAAGTAAAAGTCAGTCACAAGGGAACATCTTTAAATGTCTCTTGCAGCTCGCATGAAATAGTCAAACCTCTTAAATGTAAGTTTTATTTTCCTATCTCCATATCTCTGTACATCTCCATATTTCACTCTATTTTTCCATCTTCAGCCCTTACCGATAACAGACTATGGAAAAAATGGGCCTAATACTGTAATTCTTACTCATTTGAGTTTCAAACAGTTGAAGCAGTGAATCTGTTGATTTTACTCATGTAGCATTGGCTGAGTAAACAGTACTAATATTTTTAGCCTCTCTACACTGATAGGAACATTGTTAAAACTGCGCTAGGACCTAATACTGCAGCAGCGCTACCCAGGTACAGCACAATATTAAGTGGTATTTTGTCTGAGAAAAACCTGTGGGATCAGGCTTAAACACTAACTTCCACGTAAATTCAAGGTGGTTCTGAGATTGACAGAGGAGGCTCAGGATCAGTCCTATTTTCCATTACAATGATGATTGTTACATTTTCAGTACATGTGTAAAAGTGCACAGTGCTTGATCAATAAACTGAACAATAACAGTGAAAGAATTAAGACAACAAAGCTGTTTTGCTCAAATAAGCTATTGTTAGGTTGATAATGTGAACTCAGACTGGAATCTTTTATTTATTTTGAAAGTCTGATACCATTAAATTCCAGAACAAGCCCAAACTGATATTTAGCCATCGATAAAGACATTTAGCACAAGCCAGGTATTGTGTCCATGCTGGTCAGCTAGGTTTCCTCTATGCTCAGTGAAATAAGGACTGAAAGAGCATGATTAAGCTAACTGTATAAAGAAATAGATTATTCACTTCCTGAGAGTTTATGTACTGTACAGAGAGGTTAGATGATCAGTGGTCCTTCAGGTAAAAACAATTGTCTCCATGTAAGTACCTCTAGTAATGAGACAGAAAAAGGATTAAAAAGATAGAAAATGTCAAGTGTTACCAAGAAGATTATACTTGGGTAGCATTTAGGACATATTAAATTAAAGTCAGTAATGAAAGTGAGAACAAATACTTACCCTCATGAAAGAAAAACAATAGTATGTACTAGCACTACTGGGATTCAGGTCCCAGTCTGGAAAGTATCCGTACACTTCACAGTCAATTAAACTATAGTGATCATATATTTGAAAAGAAAGTTCATAAAAAAACCTCTACAGTTTCACACAAGTTCATCTAGAACTAATATTTTGATATCCCATTTGATTTTCCCGTATTCAAATGTTTTTCAGCATCAGCAAGCAGAGTGAAAGCATCAGATCACAGAGAAAGGACAGGAATCATATAGTCTACTTTGGTGGCATGAATTCTCAAACCTTTGAAAACTAAGCTCTGTTCCCACTGCAGTAACACCCACATGTCTCTACTCACTTGCACTTGAAGTTCTCAGGAGTTATGTTATGCTGGTGAGGAAACTGGGAGTCCCACCGCTGACACTGGATCCCACTCCATATGGTGTTGACTGTGCCACGGTAACCCTCACCCTGTCCCTGTATGCATGTTGATGTCTCAGCTGCCACCTCCGTGCTGTTCACAACTCTGTCATCTGCAGACCCAGAGAAGAAGGGCTGTTTCATATGCTTAAGGCTGAGCCTGCCTTAGGATGTCATGTTTGAACTCTACATTGCAGTTAAAATCTTGGTATCTGGAGCTCTTTGGTGAAATTGACAATCTCATGTCTTTTACAAAATAATTTTTTCTTCTTCACACTTATAACTTCCATGAAATCAAAATAGGTGTTAGACCTTATGCTAGTTCATCCACTTGTAGGCAAAGATTCTCCAACATTTAAGGGCTTTTGGTTAGTGAGAGATCTTTCCTATGCTATATCTTTGAAGTTCAGGAGATATCCTTGGTTCTTTTTTTCATTCACTTAGCTTTATAAAAACTGAGTGGCCACCCATGTGCACACAGACATGTTAATACATGTTTTCAGGATTAAAACCCGATTGTTTTTCTCCAAAGAACTCCCAGAATATCAAGTCAAAGGGAAAAAGAAGCACATAAAAAAAAAGAGAAATCCTATTATAGAAGTGCTGAATCCTCCTTGAACTTTCTCTTTTTATGCCTCATAGTTAGAGAGAAAAAAAATTAAAAAAGCCCAGGTTTTGGAAATCAAAGATCAGTATTCTCTACAGACAGACAAATGTTTTAGACTAACAAATTCATCGGACTCAAGATCTTTTACAGATGTTGATATACTCTGCATTCATCCTGGTGTGGGCTGTCTTGAACCAAATTCAGAAAAATAGTGGTTTTTGAAATGACTCATTCACATAACTTGAAAGTCTCTTTTTATTTCTTATGCAATTTTTGTAATTGCAAATTAATAGCAGAGATATTGCATCAGATATATACAAAGTAGTACAAAAGTAAATACACTACAACAGCAATGCTTCTACAATATCCCAAAAAGCTCCTAACACAATATTTTTGCAAGTAACTACCCATCTGTTGGTAATGGCTATTGTTCACAACACTGATTTTATTAATTACCTTAAAAGTATTAGTTGTCAGCAATATGTTAATAAAGTTTTAAAATTAGTTTTCTTTGAATGCTCCAGTGATTAGAACAATATTTGTGTGCTACTCATAATATAGTTCATTCCTGGTAACTTGATCCAGTTCTATGAACTTGCAGAGAATATGGATCTTAAGGAAACCAAATGTCATAACAGATGGGTTCGGCTGATTTGCTGTCTAATCTTCTATGTTAAAGATCACTTCCCTGTCAGATGATAACATCAAGTTGTGCAGTTGAATTATATATTTCTCCATGCTAGAAAAGATTTCTCTTCATCTGGTTGATGTTTTTACACCAGTGTTTCATGGTCAAATTAATTTCCTGTCCTTCTTTCACAAGGCATTTTGTCTGCAAAGGTTGTCCTGTTTCAGCGGACTCTGAGTTCCAGGCTCATTCCAAAGCCAAAAGGACATGACACTGCAAGTATCACAAGCAGGCTTCCACAGGCTGACAAATGCACCCTTTCTAGTGGATTCATCAAATGCACTTGCAGCTAGTAGCTGTATTTTTAATCATTATTAATCGCTTTTAAAATAATTGGACAGCAAAAAGACAAATTCACACATCTAATAGAAATACGTGGCTGTATAATTCAGTTTTCCATCATAACTAATATGCGGAAACAAATTGGAATTATATGCTAAAATATCTCCTAAGCTGATTAGGCTAAATATTGCTCTGCCACATTCAAATACATACTAGTCTTTTCAAAGCAATATTTGCAATGCTTTAATTATAAAGGAAAGAGATGTGGGGTATAATTTGGAAAAAAATAGTTATCTACCATAATAAATTTCAGTACACATATGGCATCCTGGCTGCATAATATTTCTCAAGTAAATTAATAAATTGCAACTATATAATTCTAGCAAAAAGTTTTCTTTATTAATAGTAATAATGCATAAAAATTCAATGTAATATATGTTATTAGAACGACCTTATTTATACACAAGAAGTTACTCTTTCAACTGTTATTAACTATATAGTACATCTACTCCATACTCAGACATACTAGACAAAAAATATTATATTGGCATTTATGTATCATTGTGTGGGTTTGGTTTTGTTATTTTTTTAAATTACATCCCTGAATTTAATAACCAAAGCATCAATTGATTTAATCAAGGCCATGGTGTCATTTTGTAGAGCATTCCTTCTTGTACATCTACAGATACAGAGCTTAGTGATGTGTTTGGACAGTGGTCTCTATCTGTAGATTAGATTTTACAACAATTTGTCTGTGTCAAAATACTCTTTTTAAAGGAAGCAGACAAACTTAATTTTCACGATTGCGAATGTTTGCACAGCAAAGCCACTACTGTAAAGACCTATGTTATAATGGCTGAGAGAGAT